TACCATACTGTTTTGATCACTATGGCCTTGTAGTACAGCCTAAAGTCTGGTAGGCTGATGTCTCCCACTTTGTTTTTATTACTAAGAATTACCTTAGCTATACACGGTTTTTTCTGGTTCCATACAAAACGAAGTACTATTTTTTCCAAGTCTTGAAAGTATGATGTTGGTATTTTAATAGAGATGGCATTGAATATGTAGATTGCTTTGGGTAGTATAGACATTTTAACAATGTTTATTCTTCCCAGCCATGAGCATGGTATGTTTTTCCATTTGTTAATATCTTCTGCTATTTCTTTTCTCAGGATTTTATAATTTTCTTTGTAGAGGTCCTTCAACTCCTTTGTTAGGTATATTTCTAGGTGTTTCATTTTCTTTGAAGCTACTATGAAGGGGATTGTGTCCTTAATTAGCTTCTCATCTTGGTTGCCATTGGCATATACAAAGACTACAGACTTGTGGAAATTGGTTTTATATCCTGAGACATTATTGTATTTTTTGATCACTTCCAGGAGTCTTCTGGTTGAGTCTTTGGGGTTCTCTAAGCATAAGATCTTATCATCAGCAAAGAGTGAGAGTTTGACCTCCTCTGCTCCCATTTGGATGCCCTTTATTTTCTTCTCTTGTCTGACTGTATTGGCTAGAACTTCCAGCACTATGTTGAATAGTAGTGGCAATACAGAACAACCTTATCTGGATCTAGCTCTAAGTGGAAAAGCTTTCAGTTTTACTCTATTCAGTAAAATTAAAAATATACACTGGGGGAAAGAATCCCTCTTCAATAAATGGTGGTAGGAGAACTGAATATCCACATGTAAAAGACTGAAACTGAACCCACACCTTTCTTCACTCACAAAAATTGATTCAAGATGGATAAAAGGCCTAAATTTAAGGCATGAAATAATAAAAATCCTCAAAGAAAGTGGAGGAAAAACACTTGATGATATTGGCCTGGGGAAAGACTTTGTGAAGAAGACTTCTATGGCAATTGCAACAACAACAAAAATAAATAAAATGAGACTTAATTAAACTGAAAAGCTTCTGTACAACTAAGGAGACAACAATCAAAGCCAAGAGACAACCTAAACACTGGGAAAGGCTTTTTGCATATTTTGAATTGAACAAAAACTTGATAACTAGGATCTATAGAGAACTCAAATTAGTGAACATGAAAAAAGCCAACAATCCCTTATGTCAATGGGCAAGAGAGATGAATAGAACCTTCTCTAAAGAAGACAGACCAATGGCTAACAAACATATGAAAATATGCTCATCATCCCTAATCATCAGAGAAATGCAAATCAAAACTACCCTAAGATATCATCTAACCCCAGCAAGAATGGCCCACATCACAAAATCTCAAAACTGCAGATACTGGCATGGATGTGGAGAGAAGGGAACACTTTTACATTGCTGGTGGGACTGCAAACTAATACAACTTTTTTGGAAAGACATATGGAGAATCCTCAAAGAACTCAAACTAGACCTTCCATTTGATCCTGAAATCCCATTACTGGATATCTACCCAGAAGGAAAAAAAAAATTCTTTTACCATAAGGACACTTGCACTAGACTGTTTATTGTAGCTCAATTTATAATCATAAAAACATGGAAACAGCCTACATGCCCACCAACTCAGGAATGGATTAACAATCTGTGGTACATGTATACCATGGAATACTATTCAGCCATTGAAAAAGATGGAGACTTTATATCTTTTGTATTAACCTAGATGGAAGTGGAACATTATTCTTAGTAAAGTGTCACAAGAATGGAGGAGCAAGTATCCCATGTACTCAATTCTGACAAGAAGACAATTAATGACCTAGTATGGTGGAGGGGTGGGGGAATGGGAGAACAGAGAGAGAGAAGGAGGGAAGGGAGGGGTGGGGGTCATGGTGTGTGACACACCTTTGGGGGGAAGGACACAATTATAAGAGGGACTTTACCTAAAAAATGCAATCAGTGTAACCTGGTTCTTTGTACCCTCAGTGAATCCCCAACGACAAAAATAAATAAAAATTAAAAAGGTCTTTTAGTGGCTCCTCCAGTATTCTGTCTACTCTCTGTGAAAAACTGGAATGAATGAGGAAATGTTTAAATGTATAAACTATCTTATTCCTCTCTTCAATAAGATGAAAGATACAGAATGAGTCTTCCTTTCTGAGGTTGACCTTCAATTACCAGACAATGATTTTCTTTTCTTTTTTGCTTTAGCTGGAAATTCACTGGAGCAATAGACTTTTAATGGAAACAAAGTGAGGTGAGGTGGGGGAGGAGAGAAAGAACAAAGAAAAGAAGAACAAAGAAGAAAACAGAAAAGACACAACAACAAAAGAACTCTCACAATAGTCTGTGTTATAACCCTCTTAATAAATGTTTGTTGTTGTTTTGATCTTAACCCCATGATTATTGGAGGGTGGCATTAACAAATTAAAGAAAAAAAATTTCTAAATTGGATGGACTTTTGTCTATGAATTCATTGTCTTCTTTCTTAATGTTATAAGAACTACATGAATCCACCATTAAAATGTTGAAATAATACACACGCACACCAAAATATGATACCACTCACTATCTCCATCTGTTTCCAATCCTTCACTACTAGCAGCTCTTTCCTCATGCTCTAATATAAAATATGTATACATGTCAAAACATGTTCAAAAACATGTGTACTGTTCCAGAATGCTGTTTTCTACACTTCACTAATCTCCCTAACCTTTGCAGTAGCACTATAACATGCCAAACTATAATTGACAATTTATATAATCTAAGTTCAAAAACCTGGAATGATAAAGACATAAGAATCATAGTTTTAAATATCCAAATTTGCTTTCCTCGGGCTATGTTATTCTGGTGTGACTGTTCTCTTGCTTCATTCACTTATTTATTTATATTATTCTTTTTTTTTTTTTTT